AGAACTACATCTTAGAAAACTAACATTTGTACAGCACTTCCCAGGGGCCTTAAATATTTTTCTCCCCAACAGCTTTTTCTCCCCAACAGCTTTTTGTCCCCATTTAACAAATGCAGAAACTGAGTCCCAACCAGTCATTCAGTGTGGGAACTGAGATTCAAGCCCAGTTCCGTGACTCGTGCTCTTTTCACCTCTCTGCAGCAACCAGCAGCAAGAGCACATACAAAACAATTCATTCTTCTCCCAAATTTAGTTTGGGACAGCCTTAGGAAATCTCCAGTGCCCAAGAGAGCTGACTAGAGCTGATATCAGTCTAAGCTCCCTGGGGAACACCTTACCGGCATTCTCCACTAGAAGCCCGAGGCAGTTATTGCAGTTTCCTTTGTGATGTGTCACTCTGCTGCCAGAGATCCCAGGGCAGTCCCTCCCAAACAATACCCCCTCCCTGAGGCTTTCATGAAACAGGAGTCATGCCTGCCATTCCAGGACGCAGATTTGGAAATCATCTATCAGGGGCTAAGTGCTTCACTGAAGTCTCTTGCACATCTGGAGTTCTAGCTACTAAAAATCCTTGTTAGTTTTGGGAGTCTCAGCAAGTACCCTCTCCTTTCCCAGTCCAGCTGGAGGTCAGAATCCAGGACCAAGAGAAAGCAGGTAGAGTTGGCAATGCCTGTCTCGACTAGGGCTAGGACGGTCAACTCCTTGGAATTGGAGGCGAGGAGAGAGGAGGGAAGTCATGGTCCCTGCAGTTCCCATTAAGCCCTGGTTCATGCAATGGGCCCAGAAGCCCAACCCTGACATCCCCCTAGTACCAGTCAGCAAGGAGGGGAGATGACGCCTCTTTATTAAGATTAACACCAAGGAAAGCATTGAGAAGAAATACACAGAGGAGGAGGAAGGGCACACAAAGTCACCACTTGAGGAAATGGGAAGGAGGCACATCAGTTAAGAACCTCAGGACAGCCACATGCTCCATGCCCTGGTTGTGGGGGAAAGGGGGAAAGGAGAGGGGAAAGCGCCATGATAGCCCAGGGCTCACAGAAGGGTCTGAAGCCCCCTGAACCTAACACCAGAGCCACAAGCCCTGCCCCTCAGGGCTCACACACTACTGCACAAGTCGACACACATAATACACACAAGACATTATGGAAGCAACACCGAGAGGCAGCGGGCAGAAACATATTGCCAGGAAAAGGAACTGAAGTTAAGCGAGTGTAGCCAGGAGAGAGACAGTTTTTGGCTGCGGCCCCCAAGAGTCCCTCAAATGTCCCCTAAATCTGGGCTGTTGCTGAGCACCCCCAAGTCTCTGCCTGTGAACTGGGCTCTTTGTTCTCTAAGCCCCAGTGAGTGGATAAAGCAATTCCAGATGAAGTCAGTGACAAGGCAGGTTCCGCTCTGCATGCAAAATCCTAGAGGTTGAGCTATTATGTCTTCATGCACATTCATAGCCAGCTCCTCCCAGCCCAGGGGCCCTGGGAACCCCATTCTCCCAGATTCCTAGGGCCGCAGTTCCCTCCTCAAGCTTCCTTTACCAATCAGCAGCCGCAGAGATCTGTGAGGGGGAGAGACTTCTGCAGAGCGCTGAATATGCTGGATTTCAGCAGAAGGGTAAATTTTCTGTTGCCAGAACAGAATATCCCAATTCCTTAATTTCTAAGTAAATCGTTAGAGACTACTTGCCATAGTCCTAGATAAGTCCTTTTTCAGAATAGAAAAAGCAGAGTTTTATTTACACAATTCAGGGGTTCTCCTGTTGGCTGGGAAGGGGGATAGGGTAGGGAGGGGACGGATGGGAGTCCAGAGATGGGCGCTTCCTCTCCCGGAACCTCACCTTTCCGCAGTTTGCTACATCTCACTTGGTTAGGCAGAAAGAATTCTTGATGCTCCCAAAGTCCTTCGCCCTATAAATCTTTCCTCCAGAGAGTCTCTCTCTGCCTGACCCACAAGAGCAGCGGTCGGGGTGAAGCGTGCTGCACCGTGCAGTTCAGTCCGCTGGCGTCATGCGCTCGGAAACCCAAAGCCAGCCCGGGAAAGTAGTGCCCCTCGGAGTCCCCTCACAGGGAGGCTTCGCCCTCCAGCTGCAGCAGGGTAATGTCGGGCAGATCGAGGGGCTCCACAAGTGGCCCGTCCCCTTCAAGGAGATCAGCACAGGGGCTCTCGCGGCGCTCACAGTGACTAGTGGGTGTGGCAGAGGGGGGCATCTCCTTTTCCTCTTCATCGTCCTCCTCCTCAGGATCACGACCTACCAAACCGCTGTCCTCAGTCCCAGGCGAAGGGGTCTCCGGCTCCTGCGGGGCTCCTGGGAAGCTCCCCTTGCCGCCGACCACGCCCAGGCCTCCCTGGCGGGGCGCGGTGGTCATAATCTGGCACATGGAGACGATGGCCCGCTGGTTGGCGCACACGTCGTCCGAGAGCACCTGGATGTGCGAGGCCTGCTCGTCCAGGGCCCCCCGCATGGCCCTCACGTCCTCAAACAGGGCCTGCAGCTGAGCCTTCAGATGCTCCATTAGTTCCTTCATGCCGCCGTTGTACTCGCTGGAGATCACGTCCCCCACGGCGGGCACGGTGGACACCTCCAGAGGTGCCGGCATTTCGCCGCCGTCCTTGGTCATGATCTCCAGCGGACCGTCCTCCATTGAATGGCAGAAGCGGGCGGTGGCCGCTCTGGGTCCGGTCCAGCCCGGCCTCTGGAGTGGGGGAGGGGTCGGGGACGGGGAGAGGTCCCCGGAGGGACAGGGGAGAGCTGAGGGAAGAGGATGCTCCCGAGAGGGGTGGGGAGCGGACGTGAAGAGATAGGTCCCGGGCGGAGGGCGCGACAGGATCGGGGAGGCCTGGAAGAGCCTGCGGGACAAAGACCCGAACAGAGTCTTAGGGCCAGCGTCTCTCCGGCTCGCCCCGGGACGAAAGTGCCCTGCCCTGCCTCGCCTCCCGAACTGCGCCCGTGTCAGCGCTGCCCTTTCGGCGCCACGAGCAAGTGCCCACCGATTTCTTGGGTCACAGAAGCGTTCGCGAAAGGGTCCGAGTTGAGGCTAAGGCCAGCAGCGGGTTCGGCTCGGGACTCCCCCTCCGGCCATTAACGGGCAGCGCCCGCGAGTGTGGTAGGAGCGACAGGGGTGGGTCTCCCAGCTGCGCCTCGGATGCTCCCCTGTTTCCAAGGCGACGCACGGCACGTAAATGACGTGTGTCTCCATGGCAACCAGAAAGTGAAGAAGAAAAGGGAGGATGGCTGGGAAGCTGCAGTGGGCTTCTGCTATCTGAGCTAGCGGGCGGGGCGGGAGGGGAGGGTAAGCTGCAGTGGCCTCAGCTGAGACTGGAAAGAGCGTGTGGCTGCAATATTTATTAGAGCAGCATGAGAGAGCAGTTTGCTGCATAAACCCTCAGGTCCAGGAGAGGTCGTCCCTCTCCCAGTCTGAGTGCTAGGCACTGAGCATTACTGCCTTGGAAGGATATTCACCTCCCCGCAATTCTTTTGTCGGAGGATGGTGCTAGAGCCCGGTCCTACTTTTCTGTCCTCCAGCCGTCCGCAGGAAAGCAGAGGGTTGAGAAGCCGACGCTAATAATGCCAGACTTGAGCTGGGGCGCGGCGGAGCCCTGGAGCCTGCCCCGCCCGGTCTTGGAGGTGCAGAGGCGGGGAGGACACTCTGGAGGTTTCCGCCTCTCTGTTCGGCTTCTACAGTAAAATAGCCCCCTCGCTGTAGATAGCACAGGAGCTGAAATGGGATAGGATTCCCTCCTACACGAGACCCAACCGCTCCCACCCAGGGCACTGGACGTTTTTCCAGGATGATGAGGCAAAGTACGTAAGTTTTTAGAAGAAACCTCCATAAGAGCAGAGATTGTTGTCTCTTTCGTGCCCTCTGTCGCCATCACGGAATCCCCAGCACCTAAAATAGTGCCTGGCACGTAGTAAGTAAATGCTCAATACATTTGTTGAATGAATAACAAGAACCACTATGTCCTATTCCCTCATCCATAACCCTGCAGCCTACACAGTGGATTTTAGGAGACCTAAATTCAATTCGTTTCTGTCATTTTCTAATTCAGAGACCTTGAATAAATCATTTTCCCGATCTGTTAGTGGACTAGACTGGATAATTTATAATATTATTTCTAACTGAATAATTCTGCATCAACTCACAGGTGAAAGGGTGAGCTATTAACAGTGTCTGTGAGGGGTGGATGCGCTGCGGGGGAGGCTGTGTGTGAGAGGATAATTCCCCCTCCGCAGGCCTGGTGCCCAGGTAGAGACATACACTGAGTGTCTCAACTTTTGTGAAAACTCTTTTCCCTATTTGAGGGGTGAAGTGGGAGAGGAGGAAGAGGAAGAAAAATGGAATTTAACATATTTACAGATGACTTCAGATTGAGAAATAAACAGCACCTGGGCAGCAGCACTAATATGACCTTAGTAAATTGTAGAAGCAAAGTGGTCAGAAAACAAAAATGAAGTTTACAGAAGAAATAAATCTGGGGAGAAGAAATAAACTATATCAATCTAAGATGAGGAAAAGCTAGGTATGGGCAGGTGAGTTGTATACAAGTGGTTTGAGGATAGCAAATGTGTTACCTGGGGTTTCCCTGCTTGCATACTCTAGTGATGAAGAGCAAGACTGGCCCAGAGGAACTTATGGGGCACTAAAGAACTGTCTGGCCTATCCCTGTCTTACTGCTATTAAAATAATAAGTGGGGAAATGACCTAAACAGCAGAATGTCTAAGGCATTGCTGATATAATAAAGGATTATGCAGCCACTAGAAATTTGATTTCCCTAAACAAATATATGAAAAACTAAAACCCCTACAGTACTGTATTTTCAAAAACGAATGATCCAATCCTCCTTGCTCACGCATTCCTCCTTTACTCATTCCACAAACTTGTGGTGCACTCACCTTGGTTATCACTCCTACCTCCTCCATGTGCCCCACAGGTTATTTCTAAAACTCAGGAGAAGAAAAAATGCTTTTCCTTGGTTTCCCTAAGCAGAGCTGAGGTGGGCTGGCATTTACAAAAAGACTACAAAACAAACAAACAAACAAAAACTATCAGAAAGCTCTTCGTTGCATCTACTGCGAGGATGAAGACCATTCTCAGCAGTCAGACCGTGGATATTCCAGGAAATGTGGACATCATTCTGAAAGGACCAACGGTTATTGTGAAGGGCCCTAGAGGCATCCTGCAGAGAGATGTCAGTCACAGCAATGTAGAACTCAGTCTCCTTAGAAAAAGAGGGTCTGGGTTGACAAATGGCGGGGAAATAGAAAGGAACTGGCTACTGTTCACACTATCTGTAGCCCTGTACAGAACATGATCAAGGGTGCTACACTGGGCTTCCGTTACAAGATGAAGTCTGTGTATGATCACTTCCCCATGAATGTCATTCAGGAAAATGATTCTCTTGTTGAAATACGGAATTTCTTGGGTGAAAAATAAATCTGCAAGGTTTGGATTATGACTGTCAGGTGTTGCTTGTTCAGTATCTCAAACCCAGAAAATAAATTAATTCTTGAAGGAAACGACATTGAACCTGTATCAAATCCAGTTGCTTTGATTCAACAAGCCACAATGTTAAAAATATGGATATCAGAAAAAAATTGGATGGTCAGGCTGATGAATAAGATCTAAGTTGTCCAGTTACAATTTTAGTATATGTGCTGCCAAAGCGAGCACTAAGTTGTCTAGCTATGGAAATGCCAAGATGTCAGATGACTCTTCAAACTTATTTGTGCCATTTTAAAGATGCATTAAAAGTCATGTATCGATTTAGGACCAGAAAAAACTATAGGAAAATTAGAAACACAGACAAGACACACACACACACGTGCACACACAAAATAGCTGAACTTACACAGTGTGAGTTTCTGATCATACAAAAGCAAGCACGTTCTCAGGGTCTACAGGTTCAACCTTGCTGTTCATCCTTCCCTGGAGAGCTCTGCTATAACCAGGAAAGACTGGCATGACTTGAAGGTTTTTGCCTGTGTCTGTTACTTCACATCTCTTGAACCAGCACTTGGTATGAATGATTTCATCTTGCCAGCTCCCTCACCCTTCAGCTGAATCCCTGCCTTCTATCTACAAGGAATGACCCTGTCCTCTGTATAGGACCTCCCATCTTAGCCTTAACCTTACATTAAATATAGCCCCCATACAGTAGGAGCTGGATTATGCCATCATACAAGGTCCTTTGCCACTATTGTGGAGGATACCATGTATGTTAAGGCTTTCAGCATAACATTACATCATGCTACCCAGAGGTGCTGGTATGAAGTCCACTGAGTGTACAAAGGGTCTGAACCTGGAGGGAGGGGAAATTATTGGAGAAGCACGAAAGAACATAGGAAACGGGTGCAGAGATCAAGGGATGTGGCTGATCCAGTCAAGCTCCAGTTCAGACATTTGAAAGCCAAGGGTAGGTGGGAACTGGAGGAGTGGACAAGTAGCAGGACTTGAAAACATAAGGCGACAATCGGTGCATCAGAATCAGAAACAGGTCATTTTAAGAATTCTGTGTAAAATGAGACAAGGGAAAATAAGAGGAGGGTATAGTCTCAGAAAAACAAAGGGAACAAATGCAGGGAATAAAGCAGAGCCTTAGTCATTTTGCTGGGTTCTAAGACTGGGTTCTCTGGACACCAATGCCCTAGGGTTTGTTGAGTGGGTCCATTCCCAAGCAAGGGGGGCTGAATGGGAACTCTGTCCATGTCACTAGAGTATTCATGCATAAAAAGTATGCCATATAGCAAGAAAAAATAACCCCTGCACACCCTTCTGCTTCCTGCCTTTCTCTGTCCTCTGGGAATAACCTAGCTGTTATAATCCTTCATCCCAGTCTTATAAGCCAAGGGGGGAAGAGACTCCATGCTGAATAGATATAGGTCTCTATCAAATACACCTAGTTTCAAACATCATATTCTCACTAAAATTATGATTTTTAGTAGTCTCTGCCATTTTCCTCTATCTGGTGTCTAGTTTACCTCCAGACTCTATTTTATATAGCTGGTATACTTTTTGCACTCTAAATCAAACAGTCATGATGGAGATGCTCATGTGACTCATCTAGCTCTAGAATGACTGCTGTACCTTAGGTCCACAATCCCAGACAAGACTCCCCAAATTCAACTTTTATGAAGCTGAGTTACCTTGTAGCCCATCTCAGCACGATATTGCATTCAAAAGAAACACCTCGAATAGCCAAAAAGAATTAAAAAGCAATTTAGATTTAAACTCTAAAGGGGTTTACATTCTTAGCATGTGGGAAAACATCTTAAATTCTCTTCCTTCCTTCTCTAATTCAACTTGTACATTATGGCATAGCTGCCTGTCATTCTCTCTTCTTTCTCCGCAAACACCTCTAAACATTCTCTCAAGCCTGGCCCTTGCTTTTTAAACCCCCTTTACTTCTTGGATGTACCCTTTTTCTCTTCTGCAAGGGCGCCTATTGTGTCAACACTCGCAGAGGCTTTTTTCCACTTTTAGTGCATGTTCAGTCATTTATCCTGTTCCACTCTGATATGACTAGTTCCAACCCAAATGTTGCTGGATAACTGGCCACAAACATAGGCATTCGGAGCCCTGGAGCAGTGTCTCATGCACCTTCCACCCTCTCCATATATTCTGCACCACAAAAGGTACCAACAGCTCAGGGTAGGCTTCTAGTCAGAATCCTCATCAGGCATTGATAGTGCTGCACCAACTAAGAACATTTACAATTTCTGGTGCTATGCGGGCAATTTTGCTTGACAAATTGCCTCCCTCAGACTATCAGTTCAATTTAGAGGAAATTATGTCCAGGTATCTGGGCAGGATATGGACTGTGGTATGCCTGCCACAGACTTCCCTTTTATTTAAAAGAATTTTTAGAAATCTAGCGTTCCTCGATACTGACATATGCAAGCTTTCAGGCCCCTTGTCACCTGTATTTTTACTTATTTCTTTATTGCCTTTCACTTCCAACTAGGATGTAAGATCCATTAGAGCAGGGGTTGATTTTGATCACTGCCATATCTCCAGCACCTAGAATCGTGCCTGGCACAATGGCTCGATAAATATTTGCTGAATATGTGAATGAATGAAGCCTGAATTCATATCTAGAAAAAAAAAATCTTCCTTAAGGACATATAGTTTGTAGAGCTCCAACTCTGTCTTATCTTAGAAAGCAGTTTAGCATCTT